CTTCACTGGGTCCACCGCTTCGCCCACCCTCCCTGAATCCCCATGTCCAGCCAAGCTAGCCATCAGACAGTGTCAGTCCCTCACAGCAGGTGTGCCCCTGCCCCTGCCCCTGAAGCCCACAGACCATGGTCCTTCCTCTACAACTCAGTGCCAACTCTGTGCATCTCTTGTGTGGTGTCTTTTCCTTTGGGGTACTACCTCGAGTCCCTGTGGTCTCCCGACAAAGGAGACCTCCATCCCTAGAGGACACCTTCCTCACTCACCTAAATGTGTTCTTCCTCTGCCACCCTCCCAGTGAGGAAAGAAACCCCTCTTTCCTGTCTCTTGTCTCAAAGAAGGAGGAAGTAAAAGTTGAGACATAGCACGCATCAGGTCAGTGGCCTGGAGATTAATGATTAAAACCTAGAGATTAAAGATTTAAATCTCGGCTGGGCACGGTGGCTCACATCTGTAATCCTAGCACTGAGGTCAGGAGTTTGAGACCAGCCTGGCCAACATGGTGAAACCCCATCTTTAAAAAAAATTTTTAAATAAAAATAAATAAATAAATAAAGATTTAAATCTCTGGTGATCTTAAGGGTGGGGGCGATATGGAGAAACACCCTCTATTGTTCCCATTCAATCTCACTCAAACCCCTACACTTCATGGATCACAACCCCCTCACATGTACTTTCTAAAACTATAAGCCCAAGACCCTTTCACATGTAATATCTCGAGTTATAAGCCTATATAAAGGCTGAGGTGTCCTTTGTTAGACGCCCGTGGCTGTTAGGCAACTATGCCACCTTGCTCCCGGTGGAATAAATCACCGCTTCCTTCCCAGTTCAGTGTTCAAGAGGTCTGTTTCTCTCGGCCACTCCTGCTTCACCAGCACCGGCCACAGGCCAGGCACATGGGGTTGCATGAGTCAGAGGGACTCTTTAAATATCGTAAACTACATTTGAACATTTAAGTTTTAATTTTCTTTTTAAATAGTTTAATAGTCTCAATAACATTAAAAGAAAAAAAAACCTTCCCAAGTATGTAATCAAGTAAGTATATTGAAATATGGTGATCCACATTTTCAGAGTTTTTTGGCATGGTGTCCATATCTGTAATCCTAGCACTTTGGAAGGCAGAGGCAGGTGGATTGCTTGAGACCAGGAGTTTCAGACCAGCCTGGGCAACATGGCAAAGCCTTGTCTCCACAAAAAATCAGCCAGGCCTGGTGGCATACACCTATAGTCCCAGCTACATGGGAGGCTGAGGCGGGAAGGTCACCTGAGCCCGGGAGGTCAAGGCTTCAGTGAGCCATGATTGTGCCACTACACTCCAGACGGGACAACAAAGTGAGACTCTGTCTCAAAAAGA